ATATTTATATATAAGCTATATTTAAAGTATGGTAGGTGTATCTCACTTACAACAGGTTTTTATTAAAAACCGGACTTCGTTGGAGCAGCGTTTCCGAGCCGAAAAGCTCTTTTCTCGGAGCCTTCGGGAGTGTCGGGGCTCGGCTCTAGCACTTGGAAGTTTCTAGGGATTGGGGAGGAGAGGTTTGGGGTATTGAGAGAGAAAGAATTGGAAATGTGTGAGTTTTTGGTGTGATTTGGGCCTCTATTTATAGGCTGAGTTCGGTGCGAATGCAGCGCGTTCCCAAAACGAACGCAACACGTTCCTTGCCACGTGTCGCCATCTTGTTCCAAGCCGTGGGGGAAGAAGGTGTAGCCCAGATTGCGCCACGTGTCACTCGCAGATTACCCCAAAAACTAATTATCTTCTAAAATCCGTAACTTTCGCATACGAGCTCCGTTTTTTGACGTTCTTTATATCCACGCGTAGGTGGAAACATGATCTACAACTTTCGTTTAGACTTCGTCGGTTAATTTTGACTTTATTTTTAAAGTTATATTTTTAACAGGCCGGGACAGGAAAAGTCTGTTAAAAATTCATAACTTCTTCATCCGACGTCTGTTTTCGTCTGTCTTTTTACCGTTGCACTACTAATAATGAGATCTTCAATTCTCATTTAGGTTGCGTCGGCCAAAAACCACTCGATCTAAAATTCGAATTTCGGGCTGTGCACTGTCATGCCAAATCTTAGAAAAATCATAACTTCGTCATACGAAGTCAGATTTGGGTGTTCTTTTTATGCACGCTCTCGGTTTAACGTATACTACAACTTTAGTTTAGATCACTAAGGCCAAAAAGTATCTATCGTAAATTCACTATTTACGTTTCCCGGTGCCCTGCCAATTTTGCCGTAAAACTTCGACGAGCCATAATTTCTTCGTTATAACTCGGATTTCAGCGTTCTTTATATGTAGGGAACCCTTTGTAACATATACTATAACTTGGTTAAGATTAATCCTTTTAAATAATATTCCATCAAAAACTCATTTTTGATGCTCATTGTCTCTAAAGTGACTAGCCCGAAACTGCGGGCGTTACACTAAGTTTGCCAAAACAAAGCTCAACCAAGGGCTCAAGGCATGGAAGTTGGCCAAAGCTTGATAAAGCTTGCATCTTTAGGCCTAAGGTACTTATTATTGTCCAGATCTGAAGCGTTATCTTCAAGGCATGCTCAACCAACTAAATGACTCAAAAGTAGGTAGAAATGGCCATAAACTCCCTAATGGAGAGATCTAACAAACAAGTGGTCAAGGTAATAGCTTTTTACCTCCAAAATGTCAGCTAACACTGAAAGAATGTTGGATCCAAGGACTCTTTCTCGTTCCAACCTTTTTCTTCTCAAGCTCCTTCAAAGAATGCACTAAAACACACGCTCTTAGCCTCTCTCTCTCTCTCTCTCTCTCTCACACACAGATGATAATAGCTCGATTAGGGTTTCTCTCAGGGTGTTAAGGTGGTGAGGGAGGCGGGGTAAAAGACTTAAGGTCCTTTAAATAGGGTGCAAACCCTGAAAATTAGGGTTTTCACGCTCAGCTCCTACTCGTCGAGTTGGGTCCTCCAACTCATCGAGTTGACTCTTAAAACCACACAGCTATCTCAATCTCTATTCGACGAGTTGGGGCCTCCAACTTCGTCCATGTTAAAGAAGTATAACTTATTTACTTGTGTCAAATGTATATTTGATATAAATATAAAGTATTTAGGGACCCAAATGTATAAATTTCCATAATGGTGCATTCGTTAGTCGTTAAGTTCATGTTAGATGACAGTTGTGTCCATAGCCCTCGTCTCATTCATTTAAAAAACATATTCTTTAGTGCAAACTTAATATTTTATCTTACTCTGTCAACATGCATGCTTACAATATTAAATTCAATCATATCTAACCAAATTTTTTTACTCCTACATTCCTACCGAGGAGGTGTTTATACATGTCCAACAGCCACTTAAAGATTAATACACATTAAGTAATTACTTGCTAAGTACTTTTTAGTCACCTAAGTTCAAGTATCTAAACTTAAACAACTCATTTTATCTCTTACATATCATCCGTATGTTATTGGAAAAGTAGTGTAAGTGACTAGAGTTGGAATGATTAAACATTAAAAGGTTCACGTGTGCAATAAAATATTTACACGATTGAGTCAAAATTCTTTATTATTTAACTTGATCGAGTCAAATGGTCTACACAACACAACATGAGTTTAAGCTTCAAACATGCTTCTGTACCTTATACAAATTTATTCTAACACCTTTAATTCAACTTGTAATAATCAATGATGATTTATATTGTAGTTCAAAGTTCGTTCTAACACTAAATTACTACATTATTAACATCATTTACCTTACTAATCCATCAATTAAAGGTTCTTCATCATCTTCCAGTTAGAAACTTCAAAACTTAAGATATGACTACTTAATTAAAATCTCTCCAATGTTTTGGGCTTAGAAAATTATAATCTAATTTCATTCATTATAAAACATTAAATTCATAGTCAAATTCAAATTTTAATAAATCAAAGAGTAATCCACCATGATTAGGACTTAAAACTTACATTTAAGCCATATGAACTTAAATTTGGCTAATCTGGAAATTTCGACACTTGATTTAGACTTTGCATAATCCATCTTACATTTAAATCATAACATTATGCTATTTCAAAGACTAAAATCATATTCCATTGCATCCATGAATGAATTCATAAACCCAGGGTTTAAAAGCACCATTAAAGCTTCATAACTCAATCTTCACCAAATAAATGAACTTACATAATTAGTGTTATAAGCTTAAGATTTAACATTAAACTTGATATAATTATGAGTTTCATCATACAGTTCAGATCTGAGGAGACAGTTAAATATTAAACAACAATAAGATGAAAGATTGGCTACCTTACAAGCTTCTTTTGGGTAACCTACTTTCCAAAGCCCAAACTGTGCTCTACTTCCAACAATTCTTTTGTTCAACTTATTTGATGCGTTATATTATGGCAATAAATAACACTTCAAACCATCCCAATAGGCTATTTACCACCGATTCATTAATTACTAACACATACACTATCAAAGTTCCTAGTTATCACAATATGGTTAGATTTGTGTTTATATTACATGGTAGTTGATAATTGGGTTCACCATCGTTATGAATTTCAATATTACCAACATGCAAGATATTAATTCCATTATTCCAATTCATCTATATGAACTCTAACTCAAGAAGATGTGAATTAGTGAAGATTGAGTAGCAATATACCTTCAATCTGATGGAAGAGACCACTAAGAAGTGATTACACTTGAAAGAAGTTAGCTTAGATGCCTTCCATAATCAACAATCACACTCAATGTCTCCAAATTTGCACTTGAAAGGCATATACAGTGACAATGACTGACTAAATGAAGTCTAACAAATTTAACACGTTGATTCAATGAAAGTCAAAGGATGTCAATTGTATTTTTCTCATAAATAGGAAACACGAGGTCCAACGAAAAGTGTATGATGCATCTTTCACAAAACCAGAACATGCACGGTAGCAATGTGAGGTACAATGCAACGTTTAAGTCACATTACTTAACTTGAGACATTGATTTTGTGCAACATGGACTCATCATATTAGCAACATTTTTAGAAGTGTCACATGATGTACGAATCTTGAATCCTCTTATACCACCATTCATCTCTTGTCACATTTCACTAATTGTACATATGCATTATAAGATCGTACATTCCACGTGGCAACATGTACAACTGATACAATTTCATCCTGACAACAATCCACAAGTCCATGTTACATTTCAACCAAATAATTATTAATTGCTTAAGAGGGATTTACCTTAGAATATGCCATATCTATTATTAATGAGAATTGAAGATGTTACACCTATTGTGTAACATCCAAGTTTTGATAAGTTTCCCTTTAAGTCCCTAATGTAAAATTTCTTTCAATTTGGTCCATTGGTTAGTACGTGGGGCGACGGAAAAAAACTTAATTCTTAATAAGTTATAAAGGATAAAAAAAAGGTCTTGTATTTTATTAGACAAAAGGTGCATTTATTTGGAACTAGGATTTTACCTGTCGCGCGTTGCGGCGCCAGTAATGGATTTAAAAAAAGAAATCTTTCGGTAGAAAAATAGAAACTTCGGAGGACTTAAGTTGCAAAAATCACTAAAATCAGGGACCAAAACCATGCATAAAAACTTAGGATGACGTAAGTTGCCAAAACATAAAAGTCAGGAAACAAATCCATGTTAAGCAAAATGCTTAAAAGTAAGCACGAGAACGTAAAAAATATTTATATCAAAACGTAAATAAACTCGAAGCACCAAAACATAAAAAACAATTACGTCGAAACGAAGACAAACTGAAATTTATACCAATATGTACATAATAAAAGCAAGTAATTAAAAAAAAGAATTAACAGACGAAATTTCTAAATCTACGTCAAAACGTGGTCCACCTCGAATTTTTACCAATACATATATAAAGTAACGCATATTAAATTATCTTTTTTTAAATAAATTAACAAATTTTACTAACTTAAAATTTGTAGGGTTTAAAATGACATTTAATAAAGTAGAGGACAATATAAAGCAGAGGGGTGGTAACTGTATACGGGATAAACACATTAAAAAAGAAGGGGATTAAAGTCATATTCTAAAAAATTCAAAGTTTAGGGGGATGAAAGTGACATTTTAAAAAGTAGCGGGTGGAAAATAAAAGGGATGAAAATAATATTTTAAAAAGTCAAGTTAAGGGGGTAAAAACATCATTTTGAAAAGTATAGGGAATGAAATGTCCATTGTCAAAATAAAGGGATGGAATATGTATATAAATTAAAAGTATAGGGAGTGAGAATGGAAAAAAAAAAAAAAAAGTAGAAGGTAGGAAAAGAAAAGAAAGTGACCACCGACTTTTGTATTTAGAAGATATATAATATTCGTTGGAGTAGACGCACCTAAATTTGATCCTAAATTTCACACCCATTCCTGCTTCCTCTTATCCATGAGCCAAAGACACAGCGCTTGGCATGGCCCTTTCTTCCTCTTTCCCAACCCCACACCCTATAAATTTACAAATAATTTCCGGCATGAAATCCAAGGAAAGGAACAGTTGTTCATCCTCATCTTCCTAAACAAAACTATCACACTCGCTCTTTCTCTCACTCTATGTCTATATCCCTATATCTCTGCATATATAGAGTGAGAAAGACAGGCAAGAAAAAAGCAGTACAAGTACACTAAAATCAGAATAAAGAAACCCAAAATACCCAAATGGATCTTGCCAACTCTTATAATACTACAAGAAGCAGGTTCATCTTCCACTATAAAATATGTCATCACTATTCTTCCTTTTCATCTGCATCATCATCACCATTATTGGCTTCCTTGTCATTGGGAACATCGTTTTGTAATTTAATGGCATCATCGTCACGTAGCCCTTTATCTTTTCCTTCTTGTAACTCTAGTTATACTCATTTTTCTGCTGAAATTCGCAGTTAAATTGATACATTTCGCATCTTTTCTTGGTTTTCTTTCGCTTACTTCTTGTAAAGTTCAATCTTTTCAATTGTTCTTGAAGAAAGAATGTTGCTTGCATCACTGCCAGGGCTCTGTCATCAACCCCAGATGACCAGTTCTTCACTATGTGGGCCTACTCTCAGTCTCAGGTACCGACTACTGACGATGATTATGATTTACAGCTCCTAATTCAAAAATTTTGCAAATGGGGTTTGCTCCGTTAAGATGAAATTTATAATTTGGCAAACTTTTATTGTTTGGAAGAAGGTTTTTGATACTGTTTAGTTCTATTTTGTTACTTGTATGCGTATATTAGTGAATTGGAGAAGAAATTGTGCATATGGCAATATGGATTTATTCTGTATTACCATATTCAGGTATAGTGATGACAAACCCCATAAGATGACAAATCTGGTGCAAAACAAGAGGAAATCGACTGCAACCATTGCCACCGTGAAAACCCATGATTTTTCTCCTCCCAAATCCTATCAGGAGGTCTGAATTCATGTTAACTTTGCATTTTGCTGTCATATCTTTAATACCCTTACGCATTTATGAACGTTTAGACTTGTTTTTATGCTCGGATCAAGCTAACTTTACTGTTGTCTTGTCATATCTATCTTTCCTGTAGGTTTTGGTGATTGAAATAAATAGATTTACCATTTTTTATAACTTACGACAACGGAAAACTTTCAGGTTATTATTGCTGCAAGGGAAAGATTTAAGCAAGAAATATCTTTTCGGTCCAAGGACAAAGATATATCCCTTGCTAAGGTGATTTTCTTTTTTCTTGTACTTTTTTGAATCATTAAAGCATAAAACTTTATTAGACAAAAATCATGAATTCAGACTATAAGATGGCGTTACATTTGGTTTTAAATTTTCTTGATCTTTTGAACAATGTGAAAATATGGGACAAATATTATGCATAGTCCAGTTTCTTGGTCAAAATAATCAACTGATTATCTGATTCTGATTATTCAAATCTGAAAATATATTTTTAGGATTCACTTTCTTTTCATTGAAATTTGCAGACTTTGATGTACATTTCTGCAGAAGATGAGGCATTCATGGCTTTTAACCGTGAAATGGATGCCCAATCCTTCCAAAATGAAAGAAAATATATGAATGTGTCATCTGATGTCCAAAACTGGAACACCATTGAAGCTATGCCTATAGCAGGAAAGACAATAGACGAGTGGTTATCAGAGTTGGACACCATAGCCAAAGAAGTTGAAGTTGAACTAATTTCAAGAGACATAAGCTGCCATTTTGTTGAAGTTTTGGAGGCAGTGAACAAAGTTCTCTTTGAATCTAAAGGCTTCAGAAGATCACCTGTTGTCGATTCAAAATGTTCATACTTGCATTCTGTTTTAAGCTCTAAATGTGGCAGTGGTATATTTTCGTCTTTTTTCATATTATAAACTTGCTTCAAATTCGAATTTTGAACCTGATCTTAATAGCTTATATATATATATATATAATATATATATATATATATATATATATATATAATATATATATATATATACATACTACCCTTTTGGCAGCGATTTTACTTAGTGTAATATACATGGAGATTTGTCAAAGACTTAATTTGACTATTGTTGGGTCACGGGTTGGTGAAGACTTTTTAATTTGGCCCGAAACCCAAAACCCAGAGGTATGTTTGATTCTAGTCCTTGAGGAAACTGTAACTTGACATAAAGTTTAAAAATTGAAAACGTTTTTTTTTTTTTGGTTTCAGGAGCTTTTTAAGGTCAATTCGGGACACAGTTTATTTGGGATTGTTAATGGACGGTGTGTGGAGGACCCGAAATCAATGGCGTCTGACTTGACTTGCAATTCACTTCTCGGTCTTGATATTGCTACAAACCGGGACATTATTGGGATTTATCTTGCTAATTTGATTGTAAGAAATCCATGCGACTATTGAGAAACTTCATTTTTTTTATGTTTGTTTTTAATCTTGTAAGTCTTTTGTAGAGACTTCATTGGAAACGTGCATCAAGAACAAACCATGGGTTAATGCTGACATCAGCGTTGAGGCCCATTCATGATGATAAGGAGAAATGGAGCAAGACTGATAGATCAAGTATGCCTTTATTGCGTCCTCAAGATCTTAGGTACAAGTACAACTAAAACATCTTGTACCTTTTTAGCCCTGTGTAGCCAATAACCCTAAATTTGTGTTCTAAATCCGCCTGGTTTTGTGTCTGTGTTGTAGGTTGGCGATCATGGCATCGGAGAAACTACTGATATTGCAGCCACATAATTGGGCTTTGAGGAGGGATCATGGCATGATGTTGTATTATAGCAGGTATGATATATGCAAAACTAATTTTAATATTGTGTAAAATTATGTTATTGAAGTGTACTATGAACTTTGTGGTGAATAATAGGGATTATGGGAAGGCGGTTCAAGAGCTAAGCATTTGCATGGCTTTTGCACCCGAAGAAGAGGCTCAAGTGTTGGAACCATTTGTGGAGAAGTTGCATTTGTTGCAACTCGAGTCCTCGTGGAAATCTCTAGGACATAAAGGGCGATTGAAGGTTCCATAAAATAAGTTGATCTGCTTGTATAAATTCGTTCACGATCTAATTTTGTGAAATGTTTAGCTTGAATGATATTGCCCTTTTAGCCTTTTTTTTCAACTTATGAATTTTAAGGTGTTGGGTGTGGTGTGGTATAGTGTAATATTAAACATAGGGGTATTCAAAATTGGATATCCAGATATCTGCATTATGGATTTTTATATCAGAAATGTAAGATAAATATGAATGCCAAGATTGTCTATCAAAACGAGCATTTATGTAGATAGGCGATATTCACCATTTATAAGACTGTATCGTACCGATATGAGATATACTAACACTCTGTTGAGAGACAAATGCTCGATAAGGATAGAAATGGACATGGGATGTTAGATGTGAGATATTATAACTCCTTTGAGAGACACATGTTTGATAAAGATAAAAAGGGATATCATATTTTAGATGTCATATGTGGAGTCCAAAATGATCTCGAGAAAATGAAAACTCTAACATATATAGCTACTTATAGAACTATTTTGCAACAATATACGATAAACTAACAAAACATTTTGCATATACTGAATATTACAATTTCAAACATACAAATTTGTAATAGATTTAATTGAACATGACTACATATTTGTTATATAATAACAACATCACAACTTTATTGGCATTATAAGTTAAAAGATTTGGACTAAACTATTTATTGAATATCTAAAGATGTGACTATTGGGTTCCTTTAGTTATTTGATTTGAATATGCAAGTAACTACAAAATATAACTTCATAATAAACTTAACTAGAAATCAATGAAATATCATTAATACATTTTTAATTGAACAATCCTTAATGAACAAGACTAAATTAACAAAAACAATATATTGTGATAATATGGAAATTATTAGCAAACTACCAAACAAACAAATAATCCTTTAAACTAAATGTTCCAAGCATTTAGTTTATATTTGTGTTTAGAAAACTCCTATAAGTCCTTGAAAAAAAAAATCTAACTTGAATGGTTTCTTACTGTGATGCACTAATTCAACGGTACCCGTCTTGTTAAGCTCTTGTAGAAAGTTCACTTCTCCCACACCTCTTATTTACGAGCTATGTCATATCAAACTCACACTTCATGGAACTTTTGAAATCTTTAAATCATCATTACTTGCAAGGATCAAGTCATCAATGTACATACTTATGATTAATACCACACCTTCATATTATGTTTTAATGATCAAAGTATACGTATGTTCACACTTTTTTAAAACCTATTTACAAAGCATGCAATGCTTGCTTTAGCCATAAAATGATTTTTTAGCATATAGACCTTCTATTCGTTTCCCTTTTTCACAAAACCAAATGGTTGTTGCATAAATATAAATGACCACGTAAAAACCCTGACCCACTTTCATTGATAGACCATACATCCTTTTTGAGCTGAAAGTGCTATAACACAACGAGTTGTCTCTGTCTTGTATGTGGAAATACCTATGTATAATCGACTCCATGTTGTTGAGCATACTCTATCACACGAAGCCTATCCTTGTATTAAACCACCTCTCCATTTTCATTGAACTTAGTCTTATAAACCCATATCACTCCAGTAGCCTTCGCTCATTCCGGTAATTCCTTGTCATTCCTTTCTACTATTCTATTATTCTATTTAATCATTCATAGTTTTTTTTTTTCATTGCTCATGTTTCAGAGCTTCTTCAAAACTAATAGGCTCGACACTTGCATACATGACAAATTAGGCTTCAACATCTTCTTTGGAAGGTTCGACATTTAATACATAGTCTCTCTTCTATAAGAGTTATCTTACATTTATTATTTCATTTGAATTCCCTATTAAGTTACATGGTGAATCTTCATGCAGTGATACTATAATTCGAATTTTATTGTTGATAATATAACTTGAATTCTTCATTGTTTTCATCTTGTTGGTCTTAAAATTAACTTATAAAACGTAAGTTACTTTGTATTGGTGTTCCGAATACGTTGGTAGAGGAGATGGACAATAGTATCGGTCGTGCTGCTATGAAGACTCCTTTATCCTATCTTGGTTTAACTATGCGTGGCAATATGAATAAGTTGGGGTGCTTGGAAGGAGGCCGTTCAAAAAGTGATTCAAAAACTTTCAAATTGGAAAGTCAAGATTTCATCAGTTGGGGGAGGTTGACCTTATTGAAATTGGTGTTGGGTTCCCTTCCTACTTATGTTATGTCTATTTATAAGATTTTGATCAGCGTTCTTTCAAATATCGAGTCTATACGCAATAATTTCTTTTTGTGGGTTGATTTGGGAGAGTAAAAAATGATTATCAAGATTACTTCAGATTAAAAATTCTTTGTTCTTCATTGTATCTAATCAGAATAAGAATAATATTACTTGAGATTAAACTCTTTGAATTTTTGTATCGTTTTCAAATGTTAATGACTAGATTAAACAAATTTAAAAATGATTATCAAGATTAACATTTAATCTACCATGGAATATACTCCAAATAGCATTAAAAAAATAAAGGTGGATATCCTTATACTTTTAAGACACCCACTTGCTTTTCAATAATTTTCTCTTCATTGAATGTGGGATTACAATCACATTTCCATGTTAATAGCGTCCTGTAAAGAATCATATGTACAAAATCCCAAGAATAAAGGTGTACAGATTCCCACAACTAATATCGTATGCCTATAATTAAATTTATGTTTAAAATCAGTTGAGATCTAATTTCATAATTTATTCCATAACAATCATAATCGTACTAAAAAACATATGGATTTATTTGGCTATATAACATTATAAGCTATATGCAAATATTCTTTATTCTTTATCCTATTATGAAACATTATCAATATACTCATGACCGATCCTAAGGATGTAAATATCCTCAAATGTCCAGGACAAGTCAGAGAAAAAAGGCCCTTACTGTTATTATAAGCTTTTTATTTTTAAATAAATATATATATAATATATAATAAAAAAAATTAGACTATGTGCAGCTGCCCACTTTGCCCCCCCTCAACACCCCCATGAATATGTGTGGATACAATAATATAGTCTTCTACACCTAATTATACATCTAACTATATCATATACCTAATTTTTCATATTTCCAAATTTACGATCCTAATTATATAAAAGATATAATACTTACACAAATAGTTTAATATAAGGAGGGATTAGCATGTTGCACACCCCGTGTCATTATTATATATATATTAAAGTTATGAAGAAAAGGAATAGTAAATTTGTCATTTTTTTGGCAGAATTGGTCACTGTATTATTATTGGGCTTCAAAGTTAGGAATAATAAATTTTGATGTTTTTTGGCAACTTTGCTCCTCATTCTTTAACCATTTTGACACTTTTTGTCCTTGCAACCAATATTTTTACACTTTTTAAGAACCTTTTAATATTTAAAGTTTGGCCACAAAACTTTAACGGTTTGACAACTTTGATCCCTTTTCTAAAAAGTTGCAAATTCCTACCTCTTTAATTCTTTAGTCATTTTGACACTTCTGGTCATTGCAGTCAAAACTTTTACATTTTTTCATAAAAAACTGGATGTTTTTTTGGCAACTTTTCTCCTCATTCTTTAACCATTTTGACACTTTTGGTCCTTACAATCAATATTTTTACACTTTTTAGGAACCTTTTAATCTTTAAAGTTTGGCCACAAAACTTTAACGGTTTGACAACTTTGATCCCTTTTCTAAAAAGTTGCTAATTCTTACCCCTTTAATTCTTTAGCCATTTTGACACTTCTGGTCTTTACAGTCAAAACTTTTACATTTTTTCATAAAAACATGAAAAAAAAACGGTTCGGGGCAAAGTCCGGGCTTTTCATCCTTGCACTTTCTACGTCTGTCATATTTATCGATTCGCAAACAACATTGAAAGCTTCTGGCCCCCGCGTAGCGGGGGTAACCTTTCTAGTTATCATAATAGAGAATGACTTCATGTATGTTGACATAATTGATACGCGAGTAAACATATGGCATTATTGCATGTGGCCAATTGGTACTGGGTGGGGTGTTATTCCATCATTCCATGTATGGTCCTTACCCAATCATTAGGTTTAGAGATAAATGCTAGATTAAATTTCAAAAGTAGTCCTTGTAGTTTAGTAAATATCATAATTTTAGTTTAAGTTTTTAATTTGTATCAATTTCGACTTCATAGTTTTTAATTTTTGCAAATTTGGTCAACCTGTCGTTAAGTCTAACTGAACCTAAGTTACACTTTTCTTTTTGACCATTTTACCTGGACCAAATTTGCAGTTACTTGTTTATTATATATAAACCACAAACCCCATTTTTGAGCTGGCTACCGGTTGTGGGGTTCAAGGTGCCATGTTTCAAACAACTGATTAACCCATTTCTGAGTTGGTTTTATAGATTTTAAAGCTCAACCAATGGGAAGATGTTGATGGCTTATTTAATCGACGTGCTGATAGATTTTCACAAGAAATTACCCTATTATCATCAGGGTAAGTTAACTTTAGTGGTAATTCATAGTTCTGTGTATATATGTTTCGAAGAAATACTTACAAATTTGAATTTCTAGGTTTGAATAGTCGAATTTCAACTTTATAAGTCATATGAATTGTCACATTGTAGAAAACTCTAATAACTATAAAAACATATAAACACATTTTGAATTCAAAATGGACATTGATTCTTACACAATTGTTCTCTAAAGTTGTGATTTTTCATATTCCGATGATTGTCTTAATAATTTGGGAACACAACAAGAAATTGTTACCTTGTTTAAGGAATCCATATAATACAAGGAGGGTGATTCTTGGAGAGTGTGAATCAATGGTTGTATGTGAAGCTGAATTTCACCTTTGTGTTGTTAATTACTAGATTTGGGAGTATATGAAATTTGCCAAACAGGTTCCATCGAGCATTGTAATCGAGTATGCAATTGGATGAACTATGAAGAACCAGAAGAATTGTTATGCACGCAATGATATATACAATATGATGTTCCTGTTATATGTAAGACATAGTCAAACTGACCAAGCATGTGCCTTGTTTTTTTGAGATCCAAAAGTGGAGATATGAATTCATTAGATTATGGTGTTCTTAATTTTTGGACATCATTCCATATTGATGCCACCAACAATACTTTTAAATCATGTCTTCTCTCTCATAAGTGAAACCTAACTGACAATTAGATTTAACGGAGGTGGAGCAACATTGCAAAAACTGGAAACTAGGGAACAAAATTTATACAAATCAAAAACTTGGAATAAAATTGTGATATTCACTAAACCACAGGGACCCTTCTAAAATTTAATGTAAATGCTATAGAATAAAGAAGATGACCAATTATTTAAATTTTCACCATTTTTACTTAATTAATATTGAAGTTCACATTATGCATGTTGCCATCATATATCCATCCAATAACATCCTAGTAAAATATATTAAAAATGATTTACTTCCGGCTCAAAAAGATTTTATTTTCAATTATAAACATGAAATTAACTAATTTTTGGATATTAAAATTGATTGAAATAATATATTTATTGATTAACTAGTATTACAACAAAAAAACTTATTCCGAGACAATACATGCAAATATTTTCTTTTAATTATGCTTACTTGAAAATTACGTATCTTTCATATATTTTAGATGTATAGCGAAATTTGTTGTGGTTGTAAAGTGTTTTTTTCAAAGAAAATGTTCAAAGATTTGTTGTGGTTGTAAAGTGCTTTTATAACTTTTTGGTTGAATTTACTCCCTCTACACTCACTTTTATTTTGTTCACGTATGTTGTCTACACCCTACTTCTGAAACCAACACTGTAAGTATTCACTTTTTCGATCATAAATTTGTATTTATAGATGTGTGTTTTAGTGAATATGAAATTTAAATCCCTATAAACATATTCACAATTATATATATGCAAGAAATGTTGTAGATATGTCAGACAAATATGTTGTAGAAGGTTGGAGTCTATTGGAATAATTTCTTTTTGGGAGCGGATTTGGGAGAAAGGGAAATGTCTAGATATATATCAGACAAACATGATCTTTGGTCTAAGGTTATTACAGCCATGTATGGAGTTCATGAATTTGTAGATCGTGCGGTTCCTTTAAACTATTCTTCAACTTGGATTGATTTAATTAAGGGTACCTTACACCTTGGAAGTAGAGGTGTGGATTTGCCTTCTTTTTGTAGAAGGGAAGTGGGGGATGGCTCTCAAAACTTTAATCTGAGAAGACTTGTGGTTGGGTGACATGCTGTTAAAATTATGTTATCCTAGATTGTATGCCTTGGAGAAAGATACTAGTATTCCGATCAGTTTGAAGTGGAGTCACGAGCATTTTTATGAATCTTTTCGTAGGAGTCCTAGAAGATGGGCCGAAAGTGAGCAATGGGAGGCTTTGCGTCATCTGCTATTTTTGGTTTCTTTACACCAGGTTCCCAATCGGTGGGTTTGGGATTTGGGTGATTCGGGTGACTTTTCAGTTGTATCTGTTCGGTTGTTTATAGATGAGTATTTGTTAGGTTCAACTGATATTGCTATTCGATGGGTCCGTCTAGTGCCTATTAAAATCAATATCCTTGCTTGGCGTTTATGTTTGGATGGCCTTCCTATTCGCCTTAACTTTTCTAAAAGAGGTTTGTATATTCCTTCTATTATGTGCCGGCTTTGTGATAATGGGATGGAGTCGGTTGATCATCTTTTTTTCTCTTG